CCCTGGAACAGGCTGCCCAGAGAGGCTGTGGAGTCTCCTTTCTCTGGAGATCTTCAAACCTGCCTGGATGCCACCCTGTGCCACGTGCTCTGGGTGTCCCTGCTGGAGCAGGGGGTTGGACTAGATGATCTCTAGAGGTCCCTGCCAACCTCAACCATTCTGTAATTCTGTATTTAGTCCTCTTATTTAGTAGTTAAAATTTATTTATTTTTGTTTTTGTGTGGAAGGAAGGCAGTGAGGTGTAACCCCATGGCCAGCTGTGCTGCTTGGTCCCTGAGAGGCGGTGCCTCTGGGTGCTGTGCTAGAGGGGGTTACAGGAAGGTGCCTCCAGCTTCTAATTCCCCTACTCCTTTAGAGTGGGTCAGCGCCAGGAGAGGGGTGCAGTGGACATGAAACACTTCTCTCCGTGATTATGATGTTTTCAGGATAACTGAGTTTGTTACTGGTGATGGCAGTTACAAGATGTTCTCTGTGCTCTCTTTTATTTTTTTTCCTCTCCATCTCCCATTGAAGATGGGTGTTAACCCAACTACCGTTGATTTAATTGATATTGGCAAGGATAAAGAGGTAAAAATGAAGCCAGGCCAAGTTCTGCATATTGTGAACCAACTTTATCCATACATGGTGAAATTTTCTGAAGAATCAGGGAAAACTGTGACAGAAGAGAGAACAGCAGCCGAGAAGAGGCCAAATGAGAACAGCGAAAGTAGTGATGAACAAAGTGTGCACAGAAAAAGTATGAAGACAGAGAAAGTGGGTGCACAAGGCAGTTCTGCAGATCAAAAACTGAGCAGTTCCAGTGCATCTCCAAACAAGGGTGTTTCTAGCAAAACGGTAAGTGTATTAGGATTACTACTTCTGCTGGTTCTCCTAGGGTTATTTTCTGCAGCAGTGCTTTCTTATTTCTGTGGAAATAAGAGGACTCCCTTTGGGAATGTTTTCCACTATTTGAAAGATTTGCTTTGAATCTTAACAGTATCTTGTTAGAGATTTGTATAAGGAGCCTTGAGGAGAGGAGATCACATTCTTAAAAAAATCAGCTGCCATTTAGCTGTTTTTTATTAGAGCTCCAATAAAAATTTTAACAGAATGCTTATTATCATTAGATTCCTAATTATCTTTTCAAAATGTTTTTTCCTTCTGTGTCTTAGGAACACTCGGGACACTGGAGTCAGGGCCTGAAGAGCTCCATGAAAGATCCAAATATGCAGGTAGGAAATGTACACACTTACTTAGCAGTAGTTTCCATTTAACAAAGTGAAATCATACTTTTCTTTTTGGAGCATACTTCAATGATCTGAGGAACCAGTGGGCTACCACATAAGGGCTGAATTGTGCTTGCCTTTTTCTCTGTGGTATTGTGAGTTTAGATGTCTGCTGTACAGACTTCACAGGATGTCAGAACTTCATTATCCTTGGTCTCCCAGCTCTGTCAAATTTGGCCAAAAGATTTGGGAAAGGTTATTGGGAAAATAGATGAACAGCGTGGTTGCTTTGGTTTTTTTGGGAAAACCATCTAAAAGGATGGTGTGGGTTGAAGCTGATCACGTAATGGAAGTTTATGCTTTCTTTTCCAGCAGTTATCTTGTTTCTGAGCATGATGTAGTTTCCTGGTTTCCAGTAAACTCTGAACTGAGGAAAACCTGTAATCCTGCTGGCAGGATGTGACCACTGGTTCCTGATCCACCCTTTCTGCCTGCTGGAATTCCTGGGTGGTTTCTGCTTAGACTGCTGCAGCGGCTCCAAATGCATCTCCCTGTATCTCTGCTTTCCTTTCATTACATAATTATTCCTCTTCAGCTCTGGTTTGCCTGACACCTCCTTTCTGAGACGTCAGTTCAAGAAGTGGAACTCTGCCTACTCCTTTTTTTTTTGGGGGGGGGGGTGGTTTTGGTAGATGAATCTCAGAACTGTTCCACACGTGCTTGCTTTCTTAGTTCATCCTTACCCATGAGGAAAAGCTACTTTAATTTTGTTTTTAACCTAGGACTAATGCCTGGCCTGCATCTTCTCAAAACAAGCCTTACAGCTCAATTCCAGAATGCTTTCCATTGAGCAGCACTCCTGCTGGAATACTTGAGAGAAGCAGGCTACTTTAAAGGCTGATGGGAAAGTTGTACTAGAGATGAGGGGAGTTCAGTAATTCACCATATAATGTTCCTTAAAACCTTGTTTACCTCTCAAGTGTTTGTAAGTAGGTCATATCATTCAAATTCCACCAGTCTGGGAAAACAGAAAGGAGGGTGGCTACTTGTTCTTCCAACAGTGTTACATAAAGATGCAGCTTTCTATATGACCAGCTTTCTATATGATCAGGCCACCCTCAGCAAGTGTTGGTTGGCTGGTTGAGAGAAGCTGTCACTTCTTTCCGGCTGTGTCACAGAGCAAGGCCAGAGTCCCTACAGCTTGGCTTCGGGTTGAAGGACTCTGCTCAATGTGGCCGTCTTAGCACTAGAGAAGTCTGAGCTTTTTTTTTCCTTTTTCTTTGCACTTTTGAGCGATTATAGGTGTCTGAGAGGATAGATAGAAACATGTGATCCTCGGTTCTCAAAAATCACAAAACAATTTCGGTCACGCAGCCCCATTACTTGCATGGGTTTAAGTTGCCCTTGTATGTTTGGGTTGTGATGATCTACAAGGATGAAGATCCACAGCCTTACTGAATATCTCAAAAGCATGACCAACTGCAGAGTGAAAATATTTCCCTGGACACCCGATCAGAATTTCCCATTTTTTTTTGATATGTATCCAAGTCTAAATTATTAGGTTGTATAGTGTTTTGGGGGAACTGAACTTCCATTATCCAGGAAATGCAAGCAGTTTCAAGTGTGTCTTTCTCTGAGGGATTCTAAAGCTATTGAATGTTTCACCTTGTAAACATGAGGTTTAATGTTCTTTCTTTAAGCAGAAGCTCAGATGTTCCAGAATGTTCCAGGATGGTTAAAAGATAATTGGGTTTTAAATCTGTTTTTGAAATGTGAGAGCATGAATAACTATTTGTGACTGAGTGCTGGCTTTATTAGGTGTTGGTAGAAACTCAGTGCACAAAAAAACTCCATTTAATTTCTTTTTTTTAATTATAAAATAAAATTTTGTACTTCTTTACTGTAGAACAAGACTGCTCTGTTCTGTATATAAACCTAGGAAAATAATTAGCAAAGATGAGAGAGAAATCTTCCATTTCTTAATGGTAGACATGCTGCTAAGAGATCACACACACAGAACATAGTTTCTGCTTCAGAACTGACAGATCCAGTAACAATTAACTGTCTTGCACCCCTGCTCTCCACTTGCTTTGCTGCTTGGCTCTCCATCAGCTCCATCAGATTCTTTCAGAAGGCAGGCAAGGTGAAAACAGGGCAAGGACAGCATGATGACAGCAATCTGTTTGGAAGGATCTTCCCAGTGCTGTGCTCACATGAGCTCCAAGTGCTCAGACTCAGAATCTGTCTGATGCTGCTGGAAATCTGTAGCACTGTGCATGTTATTTGTTACCCTTGAGATTTGCATTTCACTCCAGGAATCCTGGGTAAGTCTCCCCTGCACTGCTAGCCCCTCGCTGAATGTTAAGGTGAACATAGGTAGGAATATGTTTGGGTAATTCAGAGGAAGGAAAATCCTTATAACCTGATTGTTCTCTTCATGCCGCAAGCATCATCAACCACAGAGGGCATTTCCAGTTCTATTAACACCTCTGTGTTAACAGAGACTTATGCAACCTCACTGGATAATGTCCCAACGTCCACCAAATATGTTGTTTATCAGAATAAGACATTTAACTTCCACTCAGTAGGTCTAGCTTTTCTTTTTGACAGGTTTACAAAGATGACAAGACTGTGGTCATCAAAGACAAGTATCCCAAAGCGCGTTACCACTGGCTCGTCTTACCGTGGGACTCCATTTCAAGCCTGCAGTCAGTCACAAAGGAGCATCTTGAACTCCTGGAACATATGCATGCAGTTGGGGAGAAAATGATTGAGCAGTGCCCTGAAAAGGAGACTCTGGAGTTCAGACTGGGCTACCATGCCATCCCCAGCATGAGGTAAGACCCGAATGAGTCACCAGGTCCCAGAGCTCAATCCTGCAGAACCTGTTCTTCTGGACACGCAGATTTGGGTTAAATCTTTAAGACAGTGTGAAGCACAGCTGATCCTCCTAACTTGGCTTTGACTTGCTGATGCAAAGTCCCATTCTGGAACTTGCTTCAGTTTATTAAAGCTACTGTCAGTCTTTCTGGACGCTGGACTTTTCCTTGAACATTAGTGCATTATGTAGACCTACATTCTTGACTCCTTATAATTAGGTGAAACACAAAGTAGGGGAGGCTGCTTCCAAAGCACAGAGGGGGTTCCTTCTGTAGCAGGATTTTGGCTCAAACATAACAAAATGAGGCAGACTCCCTTGTCTGCAGCTGATAATACTGTGAAAGAACTTCAAGCATTAACACATATTTTTCTTTCTTTTCTAAACAATGCATTGTTTCAGTCAGCTGCATTTGCATGTCATCAGCCAGGATTTTGATTCCCCTGCTCTGAAAACGAAAAAGCACTGGAATTCTTTTACTACAGAATACTTCCTAAACTCCACAGGTAATGATTAAAAAAGTGTTATACTATAAAATTACTTTTAAAAAGTACAGTACTGTAAAAATACCAAAGCTTTGGCTTTGAATCTTTTTCTTTTTTTTTCTTTTCTCTCCAAAACAAATGTGTACGCCAAAAATTGTATTGCAATAAATGAAAGGTTTTATTTAATTTCAGAATCTCAGATATTGGGGACTAAAGTTAGGAAAAAGTTAAACAAACTCATATTTTGTGACTGGTTTAAATTAAAGGTCAAGGATGCCATGCTTATGCTGTCCTGTAGAGCAGCACAGGTTCTACAGTGTTAAGAGCATTGCATGGTGCTACGTGGCTACAATCACCCCTTCTTATTTCAGATGTGATAGAGATGGTAAGAAGCAAGGGAAGAGTAACGGTGAAGGAACGCACCGCTGAACTCCTCAAATTGCCCCTCAGATGTCACATCTGCAAACAAATGCTATCCACCATCCCACAGTTAAAGACTCATCTCTCTAAGCATTGGCCAAAATGACTTTGTAGAAACTTGTATAGGGATTTGAGGCTAAAACACAGAAATATTATGGGTTGTGGGTGTCTTTTGTTTTGTGTTATTTTATGACAAATGTAATTTGGGCAGCGGGTGGCCTGGACGCAGCAGCACGTTATCTTTGTAATACTACAGAGAAAAATAAAAGTGATTTCTCAAATTGGAGATGTACCTGCAGTTTCTTTGTGACATATGATGAAAAGACGTTCTGATAAAAGAATCTGGCAGAAGGATTTATTTTGATTCAGAAGTTTAGGTGCTTTTCCAGAGTTGAGCACAGAAGGGGAAGAAACGAACAGTTTCAGACAGACGGCCCCGCTGTCATGAACGGGCCACATCAACAGCTGCAACTGCAGCCCCCTCAAAGCCTCAGGTCTGTGAAGGAAATGAGAGCAGTCATCATAGACATGGGCACTGGTTGCTCTGAGTATGGCCTTGCAGGGGAGCCCAGGCCCTCCCATGGGATTTCATCAACAGTTGGAAGGCATATGCAGGACACGGATGGGGACCAAGCGAGAGGAAACCTTTCTGGGCAGGGAGATACAAACCGCCCTTGAGCCTTTGGAGCTTATCAGCCCATTACGACAGGGGATAGTGGTGGGCTGGAACTGTGTCCAAGACATGTGGGACTATGTTTTCCACAGAGAGATGAAGATTCAGCCCCAGGATCATGTGGTCCTGGTGTCAGACCCTCCCCTGGGACCCTGCACGAACAGGGAGAAGTAGGCTGAGATGCTGTTTGAAGGGCTCTGCGTGCCTGCCATCCACAGAGCCAACTAGGCCCGCTTATCCACGTACGCCTACGGACGGACCTCGGCGCTCGTATTGGAGAGCGGCCACGGCGCGTCGTACGTGGCTCCTGTCTATGAGGGTTATGTCTTGCCTACCATCACTGGGAGGGTAGATTATGCCGGCCTGGACATCACACGTTACGCATGAAGCTGCTGAATGAGTCAGGAAACAAGTTCACAGAAGATCAGCTAGGAATCATAGAAGATCTTAAAAAAAAAAAAATGCTGTTACATCTCCCTGGACCTTGAGCAGGACTTGAGTTTGCCCCTTAGGAAGAAACTACTGCAAGAACAGCGACCTGCCGGGGGGACAACTGGTCCGCATGGGCAAGGAGAGGTTCCTGTGCGCTCTTGCACACCGTGCTGCTCTGCTCCCAGCAGCCGGGGCTCTCCCAGCTGGCCGTGACCTGCCCCAGCAGGAGCGACGATGCCCGCCGGAGAAGGCTGCTGGGGAACGTCCTGCTGTGCGGGGACAGCACCATGACCATTGGCTTCGCTGACCTGTATGTGCCCAGGGGAGCGCGTCACCGTAGCCGCGTCCCCCCACAGGAAGCCTTCTGTCTGGATCGGCCACTCTATTCTGGCCTCGCTCCAGTCCTTCCAGCAGCTCTGGGTCTCCAGGAGGGAATATGAGGAATATGGCCCTTCCTGCATTTTTAGTAAGTGCTTCTGAGGATAGCACTGGGTAAGCACAGCCTTAGAAAGACCCACGATGAACACAGTACCTGAACCAAGCCAAGAGCTTAGCTGTTAGTAGTACAGTAGGAGACTTCTGCTGCAGCTATATTGTAACCACAACATTGCGCGTAATTATTTTTATTGTGTTTAATGAAGCTGGACAGTACATTGCACGGGAGTACATTTCATTCCACTTCTCATTAGAATCAGGCTTTCATACTGCAATATTTGCTCAGGCATTGGGGCATTTCTTAAGCTAAATGCATGTTTCTGTTTTGGTAGCGTAGCTCAATTACCAATAACTACATCACTTTGCAAGAGCTTCCACAAAACTTAAAAAGCAAATTCCATGTTCCTCTCAAGACAGCAGCTAATGTGGCGCAGATTTTGAGGTGAAATGCATCTCTGAGGAAGCCAAAGAGCATCCTCACAGAAACGACACCAAAGTTAACCTGTTGCTGCTGAAGCAGAAACTAAGGTCCAGCAACTGGAAAAATGGGAAGCAGGAGGCAGGACTTCCCCTGTAGGGTCATCATAAGCCAAGGAGAAGGCCCTGTAACAGAAGAAACTTCATAGGAGGCATCCATGAAAACCAGGGCAGAATGTAGGGAGTGACTGACCCCAGCTGCTGCAAACAGAGCTGAACTCACCTCCACACAGAGGGGAACAGAGGTGCCCTTTTCTATCCACTAAGGATCTACTGTCTAAGGATAGTGGTATCACCTGAGTGGATCAACTGACAGCATCACAGTTGAGTACATCCATCAGTTGTCTAATTTTTTTCTTTGTCCTATTCAAAGGAGTGTGGATGCCTCTCTTCCTGAGTTAGAAACCTGTATGCAGGGGTGGTAAGTGACTCTGTATTTCTTTGACTTTAAAAAAAAAGATTCTGAAGACAGCAGCAGTCTTGAGCTAGCTTCAGCCCACATATTTTTCTTCCCAGCAACAGAGAGTGCCCAGCACAGTGCACAGCACATATAACAAAAATCATACATTGATTCCCCATACTATTGCAAATGGCCTATTTTGCTGACTCTTGCTAACTGCTGGATCACTCTGTTCAATGAAAAGCATATGTAACACAGAGTGTCTTCAAATAAGTAAATCTGGTGTTGCACATTACACCCCTCCTGCGTGGAGCAAGTAAAAGGAGCTGCTCAGAGAGCCTTGGACTCTGACAGTTACTAGGCACTGGTTCCAGTTCTAGTGCTCCTCTGTCAAAGCTCCCTCACAACAGGGATAGATGGCAGGGGACAACCTATTCCAGAGATGGTTTACAAGATAAATGATTTAAAAACTGATCTCCCATGGGGGAGGCAAGGGATTTATCCTTGACGGGAGAAAAGCAAAACATACCTAAGACTAAAGGCTCCTCTCCTTTAACCATCACATGATGGAGAAACAGAACCACCAAGATACTCACATTAATGGAAATGAAGTACCTGCAACTACAGGCACAGCTACCTGAAAGCGACAGGAAGCAGCTCCTTGTGCTGGCACTTTCCACAGTGCCAGCTGAAGAGTTTTGTGTTGAGCACAACAGCTGCCAGGACATAATAATGTGGCACGAAGAGGGGCTGAAGCCACTGAGAGTTCCAGCTCCAGAGCTTGTCCCCTTCCTTTACAGAAGCATTCTGGGGTAGAAACTAACTCAGGTGTGCCTCAGGTGTGAGGGCAGACCACCTTCCGGGTGAAACACTTCCCTCGTAACTACAGTACAACCTGATTACAGCTGCTAAGCTGCCACTGGCACTCAGTAAAGTTACCCCCACTTGCTTAAGGTCACAGCTATTTGGGTAGCGTTGCCCAGCAGTGTGTGAAACTGACACCCCCCTCTCTCCTCCCTTTTATACTTACTATGTACCCACGACCATCCTAGTGCCAATAGACACCATTCTCAGTGCAGCAGCTGCTGTTAGTGCAGCAAGATCCTTCATGCTGATGTAGCACAGTGCCCTTGGTAAAGACCCACTATTGACAACCTGCAGTTCAGGCAATAACTCAGGGCAGCAGACACAGTGTTGTTCATTTGTTTAGCTACTACAGCAGCGTTCAGAACTGTGCATGCTGTTATCCACCAACCCTACACCCATCTGTGCACTGGCAGGGGTGTCTGTCCTTGCTAGCAGGATGGAAGGTGGGGCTAGGTTACATCAACTGGAGGGACCACAGATGTGCACAACCCTGAGACCAGTCATGGGGGCATCATGAAGGCCAGGACAACAAGGGTTTCTGTAAAAATGTAATGAAATTAAATGAAAAGCTACAGTTCAGAGTCCGTTGGGAATCCGTGGCTTTTAATTACTGTAGCAGGTGCAGTTTCCACTGGATATTTTTATTGAGTTTTGGTGGAATGAGTAATTCTGGATCTGAAAGGCAAATGGGAAATGGGTGAGTGCAGAAGGTAGCAGTTGATAGAGCTTCAAGAACCACCCACTAGCTAGTTCACCATATAATGCATATCCAAGGAAACTGAGAATTCTGTCTCAGACACGAAGCAGTTCTCTTCAGCCACCAACCATCTGCCTGCAGTGAAGAATGCCCAGCACTAATGCTCACAGCAATCACTCTATGGGCCCTCCAGCCACGCCAAACTCACGACTTTGAGTCTTCTGAACCAAAGAAAATTTCCCATAAGCCCTCTAGAACAAAACATTTTAAGTTCTATCACTTAGTGTTAGGAACAGTTTCTATTAGAAATTGCTGATCAATTAGTGTAACTAAGCTATTAAAGCTTCCCAATCCCTTATGAGAGACAGCCTACACAGGAAGCCAGGAATCCATTTCAGACAACAGCTTTTACATAGGAATTCAAGGTAAATAAAACAAAAGCTTCCCAATACTTGCTTGCCAGGAGGAGGGAGAAGACACCATAAAAAACGTAAGAAACTCCTTCAGCTGAAGATACGCTACAGCTGCTGGTGACCAGCAACACTAGTGAACCCGAGGGCATGACAGCACTGGATACACTTGCATATCCAACACCCATGTCTGACCAAGAGCCTAAACTAACCTTGTACAACAGGAGCCACCATCCTCTTCTGCTGGTAGGCAGCCATAATGCTGTTTGCAGTTGAACTGGGTCCCAGGACCTGCAAGAAGAAGCAACACACATGCTCCAGCAGGCACAAACCATTATTTCTGTATATAAAACCTGCACTGACACTTCAACCACTACAAGGAGAAATCACAGGACAAGATGACACAAACTTTATGAAACCCGACCTTGTCCAGTGTAACCAACCACCCTTAGGGAACATAACAGGCTTGTTATGTATCCAGTGCATAGCAACTCAGAAGGTGCATCTTAGAACGTATGGCACAGCACATCTATTTGATCTCTGCGGAAAAGGTCGGCTCTGGAATGCCAGAGAAAGTTTCGGGGCTGTTTCCTGAGGAATGACAAAAGTGGATGAACACTTGGGACTGCGCGGCAGGCACCAGCACGGACCGGGTTGAGCGCGCTCTGCTGCAGCTCGGCGCTCCAGATTTCGGGCAGTGAGGTCTCCATCAGGT